AGCCAATGACTAGCCAAGGACTAGCCAGGGACCAGCCAATGACTAGCCAAGGACTAGCCAGGGACCAGCCAATGACTAGCCAAGGACCAATCAAGGACCAGCCAATGACTAGCCAATGACTAGCCAGGGACTAGCCAATGACTAGCCAATGACTAGCCAAGGACTAGAAACCACAGAGACGGGCTGATGTCACGTCATAGCTTACCTGGTTGTAGCCCTTCTTGCTTTTGCCGTTCTGTCTCTTCAGCACCTCGGTCATGGTGAGCTGCAGACACTCCATCTTTGAATCTGACACAGTTTCATGGAAACAGTTAGCACACTTCCTCCTCTGACAAAACTTTCTCACACTTCAAGGCCATTTTTACACAGACATGTGAAAAAAATGAAACCAATGCAGCTCTGCACCCGCCTTTTACAGATTTTATTTTTTATTTATTTAATGCAATTCCATAAAACAACTAAACTATTCAGAAAATTATGTTCTCTGTTTGACAAGATTTCTCAGCAGTTTGTCTTCCTATTTTTACTCATTATTATTAAATTGCACTGGTTATTGGTTATTGGTTAAGACCAATAACCAATAACCAAATTTTAAGTTGGGATTATGTTTTATTACAATGCCTAAGGCTGAAAAACAAAATACAGCTCAGAAAAGGCACTGGGGCTGATTTTAGCTTGAAAAGCAGCAGTTTCACCATTTTTATAGACCTTTATGTTATTTTAGGTTTATAAATGTTACATTTTGCTATAGATACTGATTCTTGCATCATAAATGTTTTATTCTATGGGTCAGATAGTTGAGTAAAGCAATTTGGCACAATTTGGAGACGCTGGTGACACCAAAAGTTCAAAACCCCGCAGCTCTGGAACTGTTGGAGCTACAGGTGTGAAATTTTCTGCAGGTGTGGTTGACATGATGTAGAACAAATTAAATAGAATGAGACCTGCATTTTCTCAAGCATGTTCTCTATTACTGCAGTTTAAAAAAAGACGTATTTTGATGTATGATGTATTAAGAAAAAAACCCCAACTTGGATTCATGTTTGAAGTGATGCAGCTTAGCTTGTGTTTTACTCACTATTTTCATCTACATTTCCAGAAACTAGAAGGTGTTAGCTTTCAAATAATTTATCACACATGTAATTCGGGCTCACAGTTCCTCAGTTATTTGCTTCTCCATTTGGGTATGCAAAATTGACAAGGATCACTTCAAATTAGGTGTGTTTTAAGAGGTTAAAAAAACCCTGGTAATACTGATTTAAATTCTAAACACTGAAAGCAAAAGCTGCTAGAAAACAGCACAGAATCATTCATCCTAAACATAAAATAATACTAATTAATCCAGGCAGCAGATATTTATAATTTGCACAGATCGTTTTTATGGCTGCTATAACAAAAGCACCCTAACTTTAACATCTATAATGCTGCTATCTATATTATTTACAGAAACACCAACAGATTTTAAGTGCTTAGTGTGCTGAATATTTTTGCATTTCCCTTTATTTCCAGTAACAGAAAGTTAACCAATTAATTAGTCCCTTCAAGCCAAACAGGTTCGTCAGCTGGATTTAGTCGGTTGGAGGGACGTTGCTCCTTCATCTTTCTTACCGCCGTCAGACACAGATTTTATCATCTGTGAAAAGCATAATAAGTATTTTTTGATACCTATATAGACTGAAACAAATGGCTCACATCGTGATCTACTTTTCAGCTGCATCACTCCTTGTTTGGGACACTTTAGTCTCGTATTTTTCTCTAGAAAACAGCTTCCAGTCAAACCTGCAGTTTGACTGGAAGCTGAATTTTATTTATTTCAAAGGATAAACCTCTGAGAGGAAACATGAGCTGCTATAACAGACAAAAAGCTACAGACAGACGCAAGCCGGGCGATGGGAAAGAAGGAGAAGACCATGAGAAAAAGAGA